ACAGATGATTGTCTTATACGGATGGCCGTTATAGCTGGTTCGACTGCCTATGTATGTCTATGGAGACGCCAAACGTTGATATAATCATTAAAGCCTTTACTCTTTGTTACCTGGAGATATTTCCTTACTTTAGTCTATTCTTCCTCTTGTACCATCTATGGCGTCGAGGGGAGACCAGGCGCGCTCATATGACCTTAGCAGTTGCGAGCGCCGTAAAACCTTATACTACGGAGACCAGGCTTTCGGTCTCTGGCAAGCTAGATGGCCTGGCTGGGCGGGATGTTGTGGGTCTTCGGGGTATCCTTCACACCCTCGATCCAGGTGTTCCTTGGTTTTCCTCTTTGCCCTTTACCCTGAAATCCTTACCTTCTTGATAAGCATCATCATCTGCGACAGACATGGGCGATCATGTTTCTCCATCCACTCCTTGGATGCTCTTAAAAAAGCTACGTTTCCCTGATCTTTCCATTTGTTTAGGTTCCCTAAGTAGGTTGCTCTGGGCCTACCCCTGCTTCGTTTGCCTTCAATTTTGCCAGCAAGAGCTAGATGTTCAAGACACTTATGTCTATTATGGTGTCCCAAAAACTGCATTTGTCGTTTCCTGGTTGTTTTTAACACTGAGCGTCCCACGTATGACTATTCTTGATAAAAGTGAACATAAATACCTCCATCGTTACAGACCGAGGAAATACCTATAGCTCATAGAGTGTTGTCACTCACCATTTGTCCTTTTCATCTTGGCATTTGGTATAGGACGTCAAAAAGGGCTCTCCACTTGTCTCTGTTCTGGGCCATCTTCTCCACCTTCAACCAGCTGTGTCCCATATGTCTGAGACCCACCCCTAGATCTCGCTCCCAGGTGGGTCTCGGTCTTCCTCCCTTTCTCTTTCTCTGGGGGTTCCACCCAAGCTTTATTTTGTCACGACCCAATAAATTGTATTGTACGAACAGATAGGTGGGCACGTAGAGAGATATAACGTTGTTGGTCTTGAAGTAAAGAGAGCTTCCTTACAATTGGGTTATTCTAGTGAGATGCAAAAAAAAATAGAAGGTCTAGATAGGGATGCTAAAGAT